GCAGATAAGTGCATTTATTAACGAAGGATAATAAAAAAGGCAATATATTTACCAAATCATATTATCAAATACGAACTGTGACATACGAAAAAACTAGTTTAATCGCTACTTCGTAAAAAAAAAAAAAGAAAAAGAAACACAATTCCTCGCTTTCGACGTTACAATTTGACATATGATTGTGGTGAAGAAACCAGGAGTCCTAAATTTTAAGGAAAGAGAAATTCGTAAAAAAAATATTTTTTTTTTCCCCCCCAGAAATCGTTCTCATATGGAACTTCCTGATTTTTTAAAATCCGACCGACCTGCCGTGAGAACGATGTAGATAAAACACGCGTGAGTAAAACGCGCGCGTAACGCCACGTGTCGTCGTGCCGATTTGGCACTCATTGTCAATGCATATATGTGAGCGAAACTCGCAAACGTTATATTCGTCACGCGTGTTTAGCAAGGCCAATCTACGGGATGGCTCGCGCGATTGGTCGTGCCGGCATCGTACGATGGTCCTATCTCTCGCCTCATTATAAATACGGGCCCTAACCAACGACCTTTTCCTGCTGTAGTCTCACGTTTCGTTATTCACGCTCGTAAATATCATGCATTAAACAAGCGAATAAGTACACACGTATACACACACACTATCCATAGATCGTTTATTGATGAAAGCGCTTTTTGATTTTCATCATCTAATAATGCACTCCTACCGAGTGACTTGCACAAGACTGTTGCAAGAAAAAAGACTGATGACTCAATTAATTACGTTAGGACATAATGACTCGATTCATTTCAATACAATGCGCGAAAAATGCGAAGGAAAAATTAAGTTATAAAATAACGTAATTTCTTTTTCTAGCAATTAGTCTGTGCTGACGTAAAATCGGTTGTTTGTTGCTTAAAATTAATTGGGCGACTATGCAAGATTTTAATTTAACGACCGTGATGTAGTATGAAATACAATAGCCACGTAATATAACGGTCTTCATACGCGACTAATTATGCCGATATGCACAAATCAAATTAAAGAGAAGTGTATAAAGTTACAGATGCATTAAAAATGTATTAATTATGAATTTATTACAATCTCGTAATTATCGCCGAGCTCAACGAATCGATTGTTAATCGGAAAGACTTTATTAGATGCGATTAAAATTAAAATTATCGCGATAACTCTGGATAATGATTTGATTGCACTCGCGCGCTCTTTGTAGAGAGAATCACAGGTGCGGGATAGAATTACACACGGAACTCATATTTTGCCGCACACATAAGCCGGTACTCTTCTCACGAGTGATATCTTATATTAGCCGAGCGGAGAAAGCAAGAAGAGTTTAAGAGAACGAAATATATGAGAAATCGGTAACGGGAAAATAGGTTACGATATATTACCATGTAATTAAGAATAATCATCTAGAAAAATAATATTTACATTTTTATTCGTTTATCCATTAGCGAAATGAACAAATTAAAAAATCCGGCAAATATCGCAAAGCAGAGTTATACAAAGATTTTTTACAAATTCGTAATATTTTATTATTTTTTAAGATGATATGTATATGATTTTTATAATTTTATATATATATATATATTTACTTATTTATAAAAAAATCATGATTATATGTAATATTAAGAAAAGTATTTTTAAGAAAAACACTAACACTTTTTAGCTATCGGCACGTATAGTTAAAATTGACGACCACTCCATAAATCGTTCGTACAAATCGCATACAAAACCGCGCTATTTATTAATCGTCGAAGGACGGATTTATAGATTTATCGTGGGCAGACGGCATCCGTCGTCCCATTGTTGCGCTCGTTTTACAAAATGATTGCATCGCTATATGAGGGGAAAGGAGGGGGGGGGGGGTCGTCGATCCGCGACGGGCTCTCTCCGATAATTTCGATAGTTTGTAATTAAATTTAATGGCGCCGCTGGTCGTCGGCGCGCCGCACGAGGGATTTGCTCGCATAGTTTGTCGCACGCATCGTCGAATCGACGCGATCGCGTTTCGTGCGTCGCATACGCTCTCTTTCCCATCCCTATGGTATATTCGCGCTTTTGTCCCAAGAGAGGGAAATTTCTCTGGGACATTTCTCTCTCTCTCTCTCTCTTTCTCTCTCGATGAGAGTTTACTCGGCAAAGAAACTTGCGAATAATTCACGCGCGAAACAATAAACAAAGACATAAATCTTGTAGAGCTGAGACAAATCGTTTGGTTAGACCCTTCGTGTCTAACGGGACAATTCGTCCCGGGACTATAGATTTATATTTTTATTTATATCGCTCTTGAATATCGCAAACATATCATGCGACTCAACGTCGTATTTCATTTTTATTTACGATGACATTTACGTTGATTGTTTGATAATTTGGAGAAAAATTTTTTCATTTCCCTTGGTTGTCAGATTTCCACGATAATTTCTTTTCCTTTTTCGAGATTCTACTTTTTAAAAATAAATAGCAAATTTCGTTAGAGGAATATGAGTTTCTTCTCTTCAAATATGATGAGGTTCGTGTTTATCGTTGTATGTTTTAGCAATCTCGTCTTCATAACGATGTAGCATCAGCGGTTACAAACATTAATTTGCAATGTTTATCCCAATGTATGTTACGTTCGCAAACACGATGCGTGGATCACAAAGATTATTCGATACCTATTATATGCGGACGAGTAATCCTTTTTGAGATATCGCAATCTCTCTAAAATTCACGATTCAGTAATCCGGGAATCGTGCAAAAAAAAATTGGCTAAAAGTTTTACAAGATTTCGTTTATATAAAAAAGTCATCAGTGCAAATTGCTAATTCGTTAATTCTTCTTTTGTACCGATATTGCCTCGTTTCAATTCTGCTCAATTGTTTCAATTTTTTTTCTCTCTTTCCTTCTTTCTCGTCGGAATTTAAAAAAAAAAAAAAAAAAAATCAAATAAGATCTCTTGCATAAAACATTTCGATACTTAGCTCGAATATCTTTCGAGATGTATAAAACAAAAGAAAAGGGGAAATTGGAACGTTCCTCGGCGGACTTTAATTGTATGGCTCGTTCATTTAGTTTGATTTTTCATCATGAAAGACGGTGAAATGTAACGTTGCTTTCCATTAGCACTGCCATCGCGCGTATACAGAAATTCTATACCAGAGCAAACATAGGAAAGGAGACGGATGGGAGAGAGGGAGAAGGAAAAGTCGCAAGAGTTGGTGCAAGAGCGAGGGATGAAGAGCAGCGGCCCCTTATTGGTAGTTCTCTTTTATTACCTGGAAAGTGGCACTTCCGGGTAATCGGTTTCGAGCGGAAGTTATAAGTTCGTTTGGCGGTGTCGAGAGAAAAGTCGATCTTGACCCTGTTCCCCATCTCACTCTTCTTTTACAATGGCTTGTTTATTACAAAGGAACTTCTCTCTCTCTCTCTCTCTCTTTTTCTCTTCCGAAGGTACTTCATAATTTCACGGAAAATGTCTCGGGATTCGCGCTCGCTCCTTTAAAAGCCGGATACGATGCTCCTTTAGCCGTCGAGTGTTTATATAAGATGTCCCAGAATCTCTGGCTTTGATATAATGACGGATTCTTTGATCAATTTAGAGTCAAACGTTTCTTAATTAAAATTACAAGATACCGATAATTTTCGAGATATAATCATCCATAGTTTGTAACGTTTGTAATTACAAGAACAAAAATATTGTTCTTACAATTAGATTCAAGTAAATTTTATTATCGAATTGTAATTCGAGATTTACCGCTAAGATAAGTATTTAATCAATTGTATCATTATATCAAATATTAAAAAATTATTGTAATAGTTTTTCTCGAAAAATATACATTTTTTTTTAAAGATAAATCGACTTATAAAATTTGTGCAAAAAATATTGTGCTAAAATTAAAACGAGAATTTCTTGGACATGGCGCGCGTGAATGTGCATATGTACATAAAGTTTTACAGACCGTGCATAATTGGTAATGAATTCCCAAAAGTTGGAAAAGCACGACGAAAGCACGGGCAAGCTAAACTGGCAAACGAGATGGCCCCCCCCCCCTCTCCCTCCCTCCTCCCTCCCATTAAATCCAAATCAACTTCCTAATATGAACGAATGGTTTTTCGCCAACGGCACATGACGCCGTGATAATATCGCGCGCCATTCGTCATCATTAGCCCGGACGGTGAATGCATTTCCTGTGTTTTTTATCCTGCATCCCGAATTCGCGTGTGACCACCGATACCTACACCCGAGCACATCTCGTGTGTGTGTGTGTGTGTGCGCGCATACATATACGTGCTGCTACCGCGCTGCCATCGTAATTTCATTTTCAAAATTCAGATACAAAAGATCCGGCGACTTGGCTCGGAAACGCTGTAACATGATGATGGACAGGTGCAGAAGATAAAAGAAGAGAGAGGAGGGGAGAGAGAGGTCGGGAAAAATATAGGAGATTTTAGCGAAATAAGCTTGAAAAAAAATTGTTGTTAAAAAAAGAAAAATCTAACTCATTTTTTTCTTGTCAAGTCAAATCGAAGCAAAATGTATTATTTCATCGAGATTTTAATTTCAAATATACAATTTTTTGTAATAACAGAGAAAGAGAGTATGCCGCCAGTTTTTCTTTTAACGTGAAATAATAACGTCTCTGTGGACAGACGTATGTATATACGATACAGTCCCGCGATACGACAATTCCATGGAAACGGGAGAGTGTATCAGGGATCCGTCCGAGTATGAAGTTCCGGGTGCAATCTGCATTGTTTCCACGTCAATTAAACTTGTTTGATATTTCCGCTGCAATCACACCGCAACGGTGGCGGCACATCGATTCCGCGCGCGCGCGCTTAATCGAATTCGAGAAGCAGCGTTGCTCTTTGCGATTCCCTTACTAATAACGTTGTTATCGATGTGGGTTCGTATCGGGGGAATCTCGTCTCGTACCTTACGTTTCACGTTTTCTCTCTTCCTCTCTCCCTTCCTCCTTCGTTCTCTATTCTTGGCTAACCCGATTATCGCGCGCTTCTGTTTCAGTGCTTGCTAGCTGCCGAGGCGAAGAGTGCGGACACGAGGAGCTGGTGAGGTGTGCCAGGCCCCTTGAGAGAATCAGCAGCAACGACCTGAGTCTCGTCGTAACGAAAAAGGAGGAGCTCAACAAACTATGCCCGTGAGTCTTTCACCTTTATTCGGCCTGCCCGGGCGATCCCTTTTGAGCGGAAAATGTCCGTTGTTATTTGTCGCTTCTTTACATGTTCCATGAAGGGTGAGACGCGGTTGCCACCGGTTTACTCCGAACAATTCTCTGACGATGGTTTTTCTTCTCTCCTTTTTTTTCTTTCTCCTTCTGGCGTCGCGAGAAAAATGCCCGGCCGTTTCTCTCTCCAGTCGCATTTCGTATCAATTTTGAGAACGCGCGGCAACGCTTTCGCGGAATTCTCGGCGGGTCTTAATCGCGTTAACTGTGACGTTAGAGAAGAGCGAGATAAGGAGATACTCCTGAGGAAGCGTCTATCTCATTTGGCGGTTTTACACCCATTCATTAGAAACATTTTTTCATGTTTATTTATCCGCATTTATACTCGCGTTAATTCCGACACACGAGCGTATGAAACATTAATCATTCCCGTGAGTAATTTATCGCCAACACCTCTCGAGAAAGGAGAAAAATCGTTTCTCGCAGACATATGTTTGTACGAACGTAAGGTAGTAAGTCGGCCCTTCGCGAAATTGGAAATTGGCCGGGGAATAATATCTGACATTCCGCGTCCGCGGCTTCCAGTCTATTATATTCGTCCGAAATCGCGATCGTATCAGAATCTCCGTTCCAGCTTTATATCGCAACGGAGGCGCTCGATCGTTCGAATCAATCTCTGTCTCTCTCTCTCTCTCTCTCCCTCTCTCTCCCTTTCTCTCTCTCTCGTGCGCGCGTGAGATGGTACGTATGTAATTGAGTGGATGATTGCATGCAAGCAGCCGGATATTTTGCGCGATATTTCCAGAGCCCCGCGAATTCGGCGAAGAATCTTATTACGCTTGCAATTTAGCCGGGACGGGAGGAATTTCGGGAGGCTCGTTTCATGGAACTTTAAATTTCATACAAGCCTAGGCTTGCTTCGTCCGATACGACGAATTATTAATCACGATACTTTACATTGCGCGCATTTTGTTTCGCGATTATAGTAACACGCTTCTACCGGCATATATTGTCAAGATAACGCAACACGCGATATTTTCATATTTGTTTTCCGAAACAGGACGGATGGCATTGTGTAAATTAGACGGTTTGCATAATCAATTTTGAAGATAAGACCAAACATATCGCGTATTCGCCTACACTAGTCGTTGGAACGAGTGGAAAATTCTTTCACGCCTTGTATGCAAATATTGATTCTCTCCTCGTGTTTCGCGTCTTCTTATTCAAGATAAAACCATGATATTGGCCCATATTTATAGTCGAGAAACTCGGTTGAGAACAATCTTGATAGACGATACAGTTCAACAGATAAATCTTGAGAGTCAATCTAATGTTTGTGATGTCATATTTATAATGGCGATGCAACTGACGAGAGGCTCGTCTCTCACGAGATGCGACTCGGCTTCTGTTTCTCGCAGTTCAATAATAGATTCTCGAGAGAGAATTGTATGCGCACATATCCATATAATCTCTGTAGAATCTTGTATCAATTGAATCGGTAGAAATGCATAACATTCAATTGCGTTTCAAAAAGAAGATATTGTTTAATATACATATAATGCATTTATATAATATTATATAAAAATTATATAAAATCTTTAGAACAAAAATTATCAATGTTTTGCTGATTAGAGTTAAAAAAGAAATTGTTTATATCCTTAAATATAAATAAACTCTATATTATTATATTTTCTTCGTTAAGGAAATAAATATCTTGGAAAAGAAATTTTTTATAACAAAGGAAAAGCTTTGGTAATTATTACATCTTTCACAGAGATGATTACAAGTAAAGAATAATTCTAAACTTCGTCTACGGACGCTATGCCCGGATTTTTGAGAATTGATAATTTAATCTTGTCAAATAAATATAATTTCATAAATTTATAATTAATAATATAATAAATGAAAGTAATGAACAATTTTTGAAGCATTTTCAATAAAGTATAATTATCCTATGCAACGACCGATTCAATCGGATTGGCAGGCATTTTGTTTATATTGCCCAATAAAGTTATTCCTGTCGGCTCGAACGTCAGAGGCGCTAGACTTCGTGATATGCAATATTATATCAATAATTGTGATTTTCTACACGCACAGTTGACCCTATTAATAAGTTGGTGAAATTCCATTTTTACCGATCCCAAAAATAAATATCTATAATAACGGGTCATTTCCTGTTTTCATTGCAGCGACCTCGAGGCCGGTATGAAATGCATCACAAAGTACACGATCAATTGCATGAAGGAGAAGCAGAGGGAGCACTTCAACTCGCTCTATACCGGTACCAACAAGGCCATCATGGAACTATGCCACGATGGCCCGTATCAAGACGGTAAGTGCACCCTTGTTTAAATCATCGAACCGATTAAAACGCCTTCGATGAAAAACGCAATCGTAAAAGCAGTTGGCAAGAGTTGTGAGAACGAGAGAGAAAAGAGGAATTATTTTAAATATCACGGATATAAATGTTCGGTGGAAAAGCAGAGATCCTTTTTTTTTTTTTTTAGCTAAACGCTTTTACGTTTTTGTATATTCAAAATGTTACAAGCGTAACAATTTCAGCATTAAAACGGAGAAAAAAGATAAAATCAGATACGCGAAATAAAAGAAAAATGCAGAGAACTGAAAAGCTCAGTAATTAGAGACACTCGTTGCACAGAAATAACAGAAATGAAGCTGCTTTCTATATTGAAAGAGCGATATTAATTTATAATCGAGAAATTTGAAATTAAATTATATTTCGGCCTCTTGCTCGAAGGATTCATCGCGTCTGTAAAATTATAATTGTAGAGTAGATTTTGCTTTCGGCGAGAATAACGATGTGCAAAAGCCAGCGGCTCGTTTGCCAATTGGGCAAGCGGCATTGGGCATCAATGCAATTCCAAACTGTCGGTCTTCAACAATTGGAGATGGCACTAGAGTCAATAATGTATCCGGCACTCTCGAGATTACAGGAATATCACATAGATTGTCCGCGGGTCGATCGAGCAGGCATGACTCTTCATAATGTACTCCCCTCTATGGCTGAGAGGAGAGTACCGTGTAACATAATGAATCGTTAGCAAGGAGTAATATCGATTTCTCGGATGCTAGCGCGCGTGACGTGAAGCTCGTCTATCGTAAACAAGATGACTATAGAGAAAAGCGGTTTTCATCTATAAAACCATAATCGCGAAAGAGGACGAGAGAGATGATTAGTGCATCAGTCAACGATCTAGGTATATGCCCTTGTAATTATAGAACGCGCCCATACATAAAGTCGAGTTGTTTTTCTAGGAATAGACTCGGGAATAAAAGCGGGATTATTCTGTCGCGTAATCGATTTTGACTTTTAATCTACGCGTAGAAAACGAATTATATACTTAATTTTTTTTAAGTGAAATATATGTGATTCTTAATTATATTGTCATATAAATTAAAGCCATCATTAATTAAAGTTAGTAACCGTGTATATCTCTTTTCTTTATTTTTTAGTAATATTAGATTATACATTTTCCGGCGGGAAATTGTGGGCTGATTGACCGCGGAATTTCATTATCGATTCCCGCATTCCGACCAATACGCAATCCTCCAATAGAGGGAATAAAATTTTCTGTTTGCAGAATTCTTGAAGCACGCCCCGTGCATGCAAAAAGTCAAGGCCGAGTACGAGATGTGTTACAAAGCGTATCAGAAGGGTACGGTAGTGATGGAAAAGGTCTCAAATCGCACAACTGCTACACAAGAAGAAGATCTCAAGTCTCTTTGCTGGTAAGTCGAAGAATAGATTGTTTTGCATGTAGAAGTAATAAAAATAAATACTTGTACGGCAGATTCGTTATTAATTATTTCAAAGATTTTAACCGGAAATAGAGAGTTGACGTATAAAAGTAATATATAGACACAGCTGAATAAAAGAAAAAAAGATACGTGATCCAAAGTACTGTGAGATATATGTAAAATTGCGTTTTTTGAATTAATTTTATTACAATTATAAGCTAAAAATGATACTGTTATAAAATTTATATGCAAGATCAGTATACACATTCGACCGGAATTTTCATCTTTGTAAATAGGATGCGTTCGCGGTCCATTTGCTTATCCGGAAAGTTTGTTAGTTTGGCAACGCGGAGGTAAACCTTGGAACTCAAAGCGCGAGTCAATTTGACCTAGTCACTTTTCAAAATGTAGATTCTATCGCGACTGTTTTATCTGAATTCTATCACGCCCCTACGCGCGGATTATCAATTTTTCCGTCATGAAAATAGAATGAAATAGTCTAATATTTTTATCTTACGAAAAGAGAATATTTATTTAAAAAATTTAGTTCATCACAAATCGACAGATATTTATTCTAAATGTATTTGGTTAAAAGAGGAATAATATTGAGACTTGATGATAAAATTATTCACCATAATCATTAAATCATAAAATAGATTGTTCAATTAAAGTTTCTGGACTTTACGACTGGTGGACTCTTTAAAAAGAATCAATCTGCAATTATGTCAATAATTTAAGGAAATCGATTTAAGGTGCAAAAAAAAAGCATAATAAATACCCAATTACATCGCATTCTCGTGTTTCGAGAGCACAATGGTAACTCTCTGCCACATCAGTATTATCAATTCTTTTCTAGACCGATATTAAATGCGCTGAGGAGAAATCGAATTAAGATATGACACGAAGGATCTTTGGAGCGAAGTAAAGGCACGAAATGCGGACAAATAGGTTTATTAAGCAATACTCGAAATTCCGGCATTAGCGCAAAAGGATGTCAAAATCTCCTTGACTGTGATAATTTAACACTTAAGAGCTCGCTGGGCGAAACAACTGCATTAATAACGACGGGCGTTGCTCAAAGGACTCGCGCAAAAAGAGTGTAATCAGTCCTTTAGGTCGGAAGTTTCACGCTGATGCCTGTACACATACAAGGGGAAGGGACGTAATGTCATTAGCGTATCTCTGCCACGGTCTACTGCAGCTTTTGAACTTGCGCATCTCTCGCGGAAAGGGTTAGAACGAGGGGAGAGGGATGTAAGTAGTGCGATGCCGACCCAAAAGTGGATAACAGAGCCGTAAAAACACATCTCTCACACCATTTTGTTTCTTCGCAAAGATCCAATCTTGGGCTATTGTTCGCGAAAATAAAAAAAAGTCATCCGGTCGGCAAAAAACGGGCGAATTAAAAAAATGAATGAAAATTCATTCTGCGCTAAAAGTTATGTTTTAAATTTTGGAAATAGTATCAGAAAAGAATAATCGAAAAGAAAAAAAAAATATTAAGAAGAGTACAAAAATTTAAAAAATTTTTGCGATTAATATAATAATATCTCTAAGTGATATGATTTTTGCACAATATTCTCCATTTGTATTTCGGATTGTTATGTGTTCGCTAGCATTTTGCAAATGCAATTGGTAACCACATGCTTTATCCAATTCGAACGTTTGAAAGGGGATTTTCAATGGAGTTTGGGATATTTGTTTGTATTTGCAGCGCCTTCACGGAATACCTGGAGTGCTCTCATCGTACAGTACGCCGTCAGTGTGGCGATGATACAGCGCGATTCACGAAGGACTTCCTCGACAGAATGTCAACCTCACTGCTAAAAGTGAGTATTACACCACCTTGTATTATATTTCTCATTGGCACGAAAAATTATGTGCCGAGTACTTGCGCTAATTGTTCCGCTCCTAATTATTTTATTCGCTATGCTTGACAAAAGATATGGAATCGATTTTTCTATTTTTTGACAAATTTAAATTTGACTTTTTTCTGATAAAATTTTAAGGCAGATCATGTTTCAATTTGTTAAACTTTGATACTCTGTATTTCGATGATTTAATGGTGCGCAAAATTTTTTCATTGAACAAAGAAAAAGTAAGTTTTTCTTTGTTAATTTTTATTGACACCACAAATCGGAAGCAAGTAATTTCTTCGTATTATCTAATATGCGTATATATCGTATATTATATTATTGTCATAAATATTCTCAATTCAACAAGTTTACAAGAATTCAATTTCTTCGTTATTCGTCATTTGGATTAATATAATAATAAAAGTAAGTTATATTTTTATTAATATTTATCAACATTATTATTATTGTACTAGTCCAAATTGTGCACTTTGATATCTTTATCATTATTTCTTAGTTTTTAAAGATAAAGTACAGAGACCTGAAGAGAAAAATCAAGTATAGAAAAAAACTGAAGAAAGGAGAAGCGAATGTATATAGAGATAGAGAGCGACGATCTTAGCTAGTAGTAAAGTCAATAACGAGGATTCTCTAAAGGAAGGGTGAATTGC